GCAGCATCTGCTCTGTAAACATCATACCTGCTATCCACACCTAAAAGTGGTTTTGGCTGACTAACAAGCATTACTCTTGTAACATTAGCCCAGCTGTATAGTATTCATTTATATAATCTATTTTATAGGTGTGTGTTTATTTATTATTATCATTAATAAATAATATATCGGGATAATATAATGCAATGATAAATTACATAATGGTTGGTTGGTTGGTTGGTTGGTTGGTTGGTTGGTTGGTTGGTTGGTTGGTTTAGATGCTGAATTTATAATCTGTTAGCCCAACTACATCTTTAGGTGTAAATAGAAGTTTGGGACAGCTATAGGCTTTCTGGAGTCATCTGCCATATGTACTGGCTACAGAGATATGGATAGCCTTAGCAGGGGAGGAGGCTCATGTGAGTGTGCTGTGTGTATTTTAGAAGGAGTTTTCTCAAATCTGTCAAACAAAGGATGTTATAGTGATTCCAAGTGACTCCATCACTGCAGCTGGATACAAGATGCTGGGTGGTCATAGTGCCTGTTCACAGTTCAGTGTGGGTTGCAGCATCACCTTTCAAACACAGACAGGCCTGGTTTTCCATGACATGTCTATCTTGCCTTCTAGGCCTAACCCTGAGGTCTGGGATGAGAAGCCAGCCTGGCAAGACTCCCAATGAACCTCACCGCTTGACAAACTCATCAGCAAGCACCTGGTTTAAGACCACAGTGCTCTGGCTGGACCCCTCGCACCTGGAGCTTCAGGTTGCTCCCATGAGGACAAGGGGGACTTTGGAACACAGTTCAAGCAGGGCATATGTTCATTTGCAAAGTAATGTGCAAGAAGCTTAAGAAGCTGCTGGGTCAGCAAGGAGTCACTCTCACTCAGCTGGGCGCCACAACCTCTGCTTAAGGAGCTCAAACTTGTTCAACAGCTCTGAGCTCTTTCTAGCACCAGTGCCAGCGCCCTGGACTGCTTCCCACTGGCACTCAGTGCCCCAGCACCACAGGCACAGATTTAAAGGATCAATTCCAAACTCCCTGTGTGTCTCCAGCAGAACTGATCCAACAGGAGCTGGAAGGCGTCACCATCCAGCCAAGAACCACAGGCTTGGACTGAAAGTCTTGGGAAAGAAAATGTGGGGTCTGGAGCCTGTTCCTGGATTCAGGGGAAAATTGCTGGTGCTCTCCCAAGGTTCATGACTGCCTGTTTGGCTCAGGGAAACATCCCAACAGCCCTGCTCTTGCCAAAGTCACTGGGAATGGGATTAGATTATCTTTAAGGTCCCTTCCAGCCCAAGCCTTTCTTTGATTCTATGAAATCTATGAAATATCCTTCATTATATTTTAAATATTCTTTTACACTCTGTTTTCTGAGCCTTTGGACTACCCTTATTCAACCTGGTCTCTTTGGCAATGGAAGCCTCCTTAAAATGCAGTTTAGTGACTTCAGAAAGGGAAGCTTCAAGGAAAACTCCAAAAGCTGCAGTAGAGCTCTCAGAGCTGGCAGCACCAGGAAGGGATCACAGGCAGACTCTCAGCACACTGCTTTCCTAGGGACACCCTCCTCTCTGGCTGTCAGACCCTTCGTTTTTCTTCCATTTCCACTCCACCATCTCTCATCAAAGTGACAGGTGTGAGATCATGGATCTCAATTAATGTCTGTTAACTGCTTGGATGGAATTTAACAGAAGATGAAATACTATTATTACATGCACAGAAATAACTAAAGATAGGATGAAGTGCACGTGTATAGATATGTAACAATTATAAATATATATATGTATGTATGTATGTATGTATGCATAATGTTTTTTCTCAAGAAGCCAGTGAAAAGTTATTGACTTTTTATCCCCTTCTGAGATACTTTCTGATTATGTACAGCCTTGACAATTATTCCACTGCTTGTTACATGAAACACCAGTGTGTCTCATATGTAAGCAATACCCTTCCAGAAATAATTATCCTTTTGACATAATGTTATATATTGGCTTCTTTGTTTAGGCATCCAGCAGATTAATAAAATCAAGAGCCAGATGCCTTGAGACAAATTAGCTATTTCCTGTCAATAAAATATAATGCAGCACACTTAATTTATAGGAAACACTGGTGCCATGAAATTCTTGGGGCTGCCTGTGCTGCTCATCCCCATGGAAGCACCGTTGCTATTGCAGCCCTACCACCACACAGCATTGATCCATAGGTATAGAAGATTTAATCTAAATAAGAGACATTAACAAGGTAAAATGGTTCTGCACCAAAAAGATCCATTTGACTTTGAATTTGCTTACTCACTCTCCAATTCATTTTTCATCTCCAGGATTCTTTATATTCACTTCTAAAACCAGGTTGTTTTTATGGACGTTTGAATAATGACAGTGCTCTGCAGCTGTTTGGCACTGCTTATGAAATGGCATTCGTGACAGGGACGCCTCTGACAAGACCAAGACACAGAATCATACAATCATACAATCATTAAGGCTGGAAAGTCTTATCTAAGTCTGCATCTAACCAATCACACTGTTCTTAATAGATTGAGAGAAGAAATATTCTGAAAAACTTAAAAAAAACCCAACCTCTCCTATCATTCTGTATTTTTCTAGTATATTGCTAATTCATCCAAGGGTTGTTTTCTTCTCTAGACTTTGGTTAAAATACTTTGGTGCCCCAGCCTAGTTTGGAACAAATTGGTGAGACTCATTTGCATCTAGCACAGTTATTTCTGGAAGTTGCTGTGCCACAGTTAAGCTGCATTATGTTTTATCATGTTGTTTAACATGAAAAACATGTGGTATCACCCTCAAATGTTTACCATGCACTCTCCTTTTTAGAACTTGACATTTTTGAGATTTTTAAAGAAAGACAATAATTCAGCCTCTAAGCTCTAAGTAATTAAGAATTACTCCCCAAAAGCTCATGTTTTGAGTTCAGTGATTTATTGAATATTTTCTACATTCACAAGGTTAAAACAGAGAAAGAGAAAACACAGGGAACATTTCATGACTTCTCAGTGGCTCTGGTTTTATTTTACTCTCAAAATTCAGACTTTCAGCAGTCAACTAACATAAAATTTCTGAGTTCCTCCAATTTTTAAGTGCTGTATTAAAAGCCATCTTAATCAGCTCAAGTGGCAAGTATGTTGGGACCTGTTCACACAGGACCCTTTCTCTCAGCCTCCACCAAGGCGACAAATAACCTCTGCTGGGCTTTTCTTCTTTAATATAAAAAATTATAGGGGGAGAGGAGGGCATTCACTAATGATTTGTTAAGACAAGGTGGAAGTCCTGAACTGGCTAACTTTAATGGAAACAAAGAAATCTGTTCCTCAGCCAAGGTTTATGATTCTCATGGAGTGCCCAGCCCATTTCCACTTCCCTTTGATTTATAGCAAACAGATCCATTCCTTGAAACAGATAGATTTTTTTGCACTCCCCTTACAAAAAAAGCTAAGCAACAAAACCAGCCAGTAAAAACAAACAAAAAATTCCTCTTTTTTAAACAATAGTGACCTTTTCTCAAGAAAATATCAATTTTGATAAAAGTTTATTGTTTCCCCCAGACTTCTGGTGACCAGGAAGGAAAAGGTCAAGTTCCCAGTAGAGCATTTTTCATCTGGGCAATGTTGAGAGGTCAGAGAGCTCAGCATGCTGAAGGTGAAGCCCCAGAGGTGACCCTGTCAGCTTGAGCTCTGCCTGCCACCAGGGATCCAGCACCATCCCCCTGGCCCCAGTGCCCATACCCACCACCCCGGGCTGCCTCCCCTCCTGCCATAATGTACAGCAAAGCCACCAAAACACAGCCTCACCATGCCACCCTGACAGAAACCTCTGAGAGCAGCACAGGCTCTAACAAAGCAAAAGACCCCTTTTTTTTGCACAAAACAGAAAGCTCTACTCAGAGCTATGTGGCTCTGTGAGGAAAATTGGAGTTGGGAAAAAAAAAAAAATCTCAAATCTTTTCCATCTGTCTGAATGACAGCTGTGATTAGATGGGAAACTACGGCATGGGGCGAGGACAAGGTGCCACAATCCTTTCAAACAAGACTTGTGTTCCCAGAGGGGACCCCTGGGGCACTCCAGCAGACCCCATCCCTCTCCCAATTCTGCTCTGTGGGCCCCCTTTACCCATTCCCACACGGGAATCCCCTCTCACCTCCCCACTGCCCCACGCAGGAGGCTGCACAGCTCACTGCCCGCAGCCCTGCAGCACCAGCAGCAAAAGCAGGCACAAAGGCTGGAGTGACTTTGAAGGAGCAGGACATGGATATTAAATTGCAGCAGAATAGGGGTTAGAAGCAGTTGAACCTGGCTTGGCACTGAAAGTCTGCCACGTCTGTTGCCCCAGCAAAGCTACCTTTGGCCAACCTGCTCGCAGCTTCTGGTAAGGTTTATTTATAGGCTACCCTTTCATTTTTGTTCATGCACAATTAGGAAGAGCAGAAAACTAAATTACTTGCAGCAAATGGAATTTGAACGGGAAAATGCCTCCTTACATCCCATGGAAAATGAGTTCCTGGTGTCTAGCTCAGGAATCTTTTGTTCAACACCTCTGGATCATGCATGAGTTGCAAACTGATGTGCTTTGGCTGATAGGGGAGCCTCTTCTGCTCTTTTACATCTGTCTTTCTGAGTTCCAAGAAGAAGGAAGGAGCTTAGTAGTGAATTTTAGAAAATAACTTCAGCTTGTGTGTGTGAATTCCCTCACTAAAGAACCTACTCACACCAGTCAAATCTCACTATAAAGAACTTATTCAACTCAAAAGGTTAATTTCAAGAGCCCAGTACACAATATACAAATGGAAAAAAAATCTGTGTATTTGCTGCATGTTTTCACAGTGTTCAGCTCACAATTAAACTTTCCATTTTAAGGAATATTACAATAGGGTTTTAATTCAACAGCATCTCCAGAAAAAGATTTATACTTCATACTTCCATATTTATCATGTCAAAGGATAGAAACAAATGAGCATTGTCACATTCTGACACTGAATAAAAAGTCATGAAAGCCAAATGACACACTTAGAATTTACAATTTTTATTCCAGGAGAGAGAGAAACTGTTAAATATATTTAAGGAAAAAAAAGTAAGGCATTCAAAACAATGAAAGAGAGGATCTTTCTTGCTTTATTACCTCTAGAATGTCAACTTCTTCTTTTTAACAGCCAGGCAGACAAAGACCTGTCATCCAGTATCTTCACAAATTACAGTCCAACCTGTAAATACAAACAGAGCACTTGATATGATCTTCAGGCATTTCTATTTTCTATTTAATACTGTTTCATGCATTCATGTGCTAATAAAGGTTAAACTAGGTGATCCTTCAAGCAGCCCTCTACACTTTATCTGCCAGAGCTATAAAAGCCAAAGAAAATTGGTGCATTTATATTGTGAAAGAAAAAGACTCCAAGCATTGTAATGAAGTAGGGTATTTCTTCTTGTGTATCATTTCAGCAGCAGTTGTTTACAACAAAAACATTTAGTCAGAACTGGATTTTTATGAGAAATACTCATGTGTTACTAATCTTCTGCTGACATCAGACTGATTCTCTTGGATCTTTCATTTGCTTCTGGTGAATCATCCTGCTCATAAAACAAATTGCCTTGTCCTGACTTGGATTTCTACCTTGATTTTCAGTGTGGCTTCAGGTATATGCAGCAGTTTACCCTTGAGAAAATTCAGCATAGTCATGCTAGCACAGTCTTCATCTTAAAATAACACACAACACCATTGTGCAATGAACAAAATAAAAGATTTGGAGGAATTAAATCTAAAATACTTCCAGTATAGAACAGCCTTTTTACCTCAGACTCCAAAACCAGAACCAGATGCATAATTAAGTACAAGATGGCCCACATAATCACAGATGAGAAGCAGACAAAAGTGTTTATCAAAATTTATCCTTATCCCTTTTGACTTCCCAACCTTTTCTTCAGCCTTCCTAAGGTATAAATTTCTCCTACTCTATACTGCAAATTCACAAGTCCCCTTTTAACCCTCTCAGTAGTTGGAAATGCATACCATAAAAACCTTTTGTGCAGCCCCACAAAGAACCTTCAGACAAAACAAGCAGCTGACTAAAATCACCTTTTCAGATCTCCACATCCTTCAAAAGTTAAGAGCACGGTTCTGATGCTTTGGCTGAGAACTGGCGGATTTGGGTTACAAGATGAGGAAAAGTTGTAATGAACACCTTTGTAATACAGACAAAAAAAGATTGCCCCATGAATAAAGCCAAAGAAACAGAGGCTGGGTTTAGCAAAATTGCTTCCAATAGCTGAGATAAACATGAACAGGCAAATCTTGATGCATCACACACATTGGACTAGAGAACAAATTATCATTACAGAATAAATGGCATTCTCCTTTGGGCAGAGCTGCTAAACAGCAATCCAGAGAGAAGGGGAAAAAGCAAGAATATCCCTTGCAAAGGAATTACAATAAAAACCCCATGTGTTACTACAGTGTTTCACGATCACACAGGATGAGCCAACACCAATTAAAAGCCAAACTCTGCTCTGAAAGTACAAGCTCATCTCCCATTTACAGCAGCAATGATAGAAGAGGCAAATTTTGTCCATGACCTCAGCTTTTATTAACATCCTAGGTGCCAGAAGGCAGATTTACAAAGGCATTTTTTGAGCTAAAATTGCATATGGGCCCATTGACACAAATACAGGGATTTGCAGAAAATCCTCACGGGATGCCTGAAGTGGCTTTTTAAATTTTTAATCACAAACAAATGAGTCATGTTAGAAAGAGTACATAGAAAGAGAACTACTACCATCCCCACAAGCATTGATTGTTTTAAAAAACCTAAATTAAGCTTGCCAATTCTAGCACTTGAAGTTTCTTTTCTCTGTTATTTGTATGCACACACAGTCTGACAAATCATCCCCAAAATTATAACATAGATTTAAACAAAAAAAAGGAAAAACTGTGCAACTTTTAGAAATATATACTATTGTGCTGTAAAATTCTTTCATTATTTTCCTATCTTTCCATTTTAATCTGATAAATGTACACATTAAGCCCTTCTCTCAATATTTTTTTTATAATCAAGTGGAATCTGATTTTTTCTGACATAGGTATTCTGAACTGCTTCCTCCCTTTTTCAAACACATTTATTGACTTAAGTTGCTTTTTTACATTTGAAATGGAGCAACTGAAATTGGAATTGAGCAAGATATTTCATTTCCTTAGATTAAGAGATTCTTAAAACTTTCCAGATATGCTTTAATTATTCTGGGAGAACAACATTAGCTTTCCTTAGTAACTCGGAGCAGTAACTCCTTAGTAACTCCCTGTATGGCAGGCTAGTCAGTGCTTCTTTAGCCTAAAATAATAGCTCATCTTTTAAAATATTGACTTATGCTCTTTGAACAATATGTTTTGTCATATCACGGTGCTTTTTGTGGGATTTTTTTTTCTGAAATGTCTTCCTTGAATATTTTTTATGTAAATCAGTAAAACATAGGTTATCTAAGAGTCTACCATTGTTTGTATCATCCTCCTCCATTTACTGTAATCTACGGACCTCGAGATTCTGGATTTGACAGCAGTGCCACCATCCAAGGCACTTACAAAAAAACACCATGGCTACACAAGATCTTGAACTCAAGTGCTAGAGGGTTTCTGCATTTCACAGTTATTGTTCTTTGTTTTGAGGCAGTGCCTACAGTTCTCAACAGCAAACTGATCCCCCCTAGGTATCAGGTCATGTGCAATGAAAACTGAAAGGGAAGATAAAACTAATAACTTGTTGAATGGTCTTTTTCCCCCAGCTGTCATTTGTGCCCTCACCCATGCCTTCATTTCTGTCTCCAAGTTAATGTTTTAATTTTGACCAAGCTCATGCTGAAATTGAACACAAAGCTATTCAAAATACTTAGGGTCCAATCTAACTCCTATTCAAGTAGATGGAAAGCAAGATGGATTTTATTTCTTTATTTCAGATTAGAAAACATTCCTGTATTTCTGCTAAGACAAAAGCCAGTGCAGGACATCAAACCACTAGATTCCATCATGTCAGAAGCATTTCCCACACGTGTCTTAACAACATGAGAAAGAGATGGAAACAAAAGCCTTTTTTCCAAGCAACAGCACCACACCAGTCCCATCCCAAGCTCCTCCTCACTCCTCCCTGAACTGGGACAATTGTTCAAAGTCTTGTTCACAGGTTTTCAATTTACTGCCCAATTTATACTGGCAATGAAGCCAGACAAGTAATTAGTTTTTGTTTTGAGAAGAACGAGGCGGATTTTTTTGCATACACAATATTTGTAGTCCTAGAGATGAACTGAAAAATCTACTGTAAGGACTGAGCAGCTGTTCTTAAACAAACTTGCTTGATTTTATTGCTGGTGCTTTGTTTTTCCTTTCCTCTCTTGTTGTCTCTGTCACCAGTACCAACCATTTTCACCCCTGACATGACACTGTAATTTATGAAAGTTCTTGTTCTATGGTTTAAAAAAACTATTTTAATGACTTTCATTAATTCAAATACTTCTTCAAGTCTTTGTGCTATAGCTACTGAGGCAAGCAAGAGTCTCAAAATGTCTGTGAAAATTATTTATTGAAAATTTTACGTCCAAAAAGACTAACTAAGAAATCTTTTCACAGGCTTTGATTCCGTGAAATAGCCGTGATCTTCCTCCAAAACCAGACAGACAAAAAAAAGCCATTTTGAGGAAAAAGAAAAAAAAAATCATAATACAGAAAATACTACCCTGAAGCAGAGTTCATATCTCAATAAAGAAGAAACTCAAGGACTGCATAACTAGGGTGTCTACTAGAATGTTTGTTGTAGATATTGATGTAAAAATGTACATCTCTAGTGAGATGAAGGATGGTGGTGCAGAGCTTGAGGGAGAAACAGGACAGCACCTGAACCCTTTGTTTGAAGCGTAGAGTCATCATATAATCATTAAGGCTGGAAAAGACCTCTAAGATCACTGAGTCCAATCATCCAGCTGTATGGCACAGGGGAGGTGTCCTTTGAGATACAACAGCTCTTTGTGTCCTCTTGCATCAAAAATATTAAGCTGTCACATGCCATGACTTTGCAAACCACATATCTCTGCATGTGAAGAATAACGTGGAGCCAGACCCACGTGAAGTAGGAGTGAGAAGCCCACAGGACAAGTATTCCTTTAATATGTCCTCCCTGCATCACCAGAACAGCTTCTGCTGGCTCCCAGCCCAAAAGGCAGATCCCAGGAAAGGGATAGAAGAGGTGGAAGGCAGGACCATAAGGAAGTTTGGCTCCCAGAGCAACCCAAAGCATCGAGGGAGACCAGGGAGACCAGAGTCCCCACCTCCTGTGCTACCTCTGTGAGCACACTGAAGGAAATCCAGTGCTCACATCTGCCTGCAGCACAGTATTCCCCAGCCTCCCACTGCAACAGAGCAGCCTTTGCTCTGCCCCTTGCACAGCTCTGCAAAGCCTCATCTGAAGGAGCTAAGTACGAGGAAGTGTAACTCTATCTGTAACTTACCCTGAGCTGTTATAAAATTATCCCTATTATAAATGTTACATGAGTAAATGAGGAATATGAATGAGTGAGAGCTATTCATCTCAACGAGCACTTCTCTCCTAGAGAGTGTCACAAAGCCACGGGATGTCCCCAAGTTTCAGAATTTGCATTCCCACCTTTGAGTTAGATGAAAAACTTGCAAAAGCATATGTATCTAGATAGCTCCTTAATGACCCTGCCTCCCAGGGGGATTTTGTGCATTGAATATTCAGGAGAGAGAAGGCAAAAGGTTGTACCATGAATGCTTACCAATAATAATTGCTACTTAAATAGCATTTTCTCCTGAAAAAAAAAGCTTTACTGGGAACCTACTATCAACCCTCTAAATGAGGGAATGCCAAAGATCTTCCAAAGATGTAGATGGGGAGCAGTGGGGTAGCAACTGAAACCATTTCCATTGCCTAAAGCTGTGTCTGTATTGCAATTAAAAGATTTATGTGGAGATAAACACTTAGTGCTGAGGACCTAATGCCACTTTATTAAAAAAGAAACAGGGAGGGTGGAGAGTGGGGATGTATTCAGGCATGGTCTGGTCTGATCTGATGTGCTGGATTAGCAATGGGAGCACTGGTCTCCATCCAGGAGGAGCTGAGTTCACGAGCTCTGAGGAACTCAGTACCACAAACCAAATGACCTTAGTGCAAGCAACTGGAAGAGCTGTTTCAAAATGCATTCCAGATCTGAATAAAACCATAAATGTAAATGCACACTTCTTCATCCCGTTCCTCAATACCTTTGAAAACACTGAAATAAGTAATGCACAAAAGGCACAACTCAAGGAGAAGTAAGATTGCACAGTCATTTCTCTTTTGCCCAATCTTCTATGCCTTTCATGTTGCTTTGATAATAAAGGGAATGAAAGTCTGAAGCAGAACTATTCAACTAAACTACACTCTATTCTAAGAAAGATTTCTATAATTTTAAAGGTTTGTTGGGATTTTTTCCTGTGCATTACTGATTTTTTTCCATCTGAGAATTTGGCACTTTTATCACAATTACCATTTCCTCTCCAGTTTCTTTAACACACCTGTTTCTGCACAGCAGACAAGAATGAGCTGGTTCTGTTAGGTAGTGTCTTCCCAGTGAGATGCTGCCGCTGCAGTGCTGAGCACCTCTCACAGCAACACCAAACACTTCTTTCTGAACCTTCAGTGCCAAAGCTGCATGTTGATTTTGCTGCACCAGAATTCCATTCAGCAGATTTCATTGCTGCACCAGAAACATTCTTCCTGCAGAATTGACAGGAATACCTCTGTGCCAGCGCAGGAACCGTAACAAAAGTGGGCAGAATTGCAGCCTCTCTCTTTCCCCCATGTTGTTTGTGAGGGCAGCTGCTTTTTTTTTTTTAGCATATTTCTTAAGCAGGAAATTATTTTTTTTAAAAAGAAATACACAAAAAATCTGACTACTCCTTTTTCAGTTCTGGTGCTAAGCAAAACACCATTTCTTTCAGATATAGGGAAGGTAAATTGCAGCTTTAAACCAATGTGACCTTTTCTGACAAACACACATGATTTTTTTTTCCTGAAACTTCTCTCCTGCACTTCCACATGCCCAGACTGGAGAACAGGCAATGGGTACAGAAACTCCTCCCAGCCAGGAAAAGCCAAACCACAAGCAGACACCTCTGGGGGTGAGCACAGGGCAGGAAACGAACACAGTAAAAGCTGCTTATAGACCAGACCCAACCGTGGATGCCCTGCAGCTGCACCCATTCCCCTGGACTGCCCACTTCCATGGGCAGCCAGCAGCTCCTCAGTGGCTCTTCCCTTTTCAAAGACACTGTGGCCCCAGCCTCAGCCCCTGCTTTTGTGTGGGCAGCTCTTTCCCCCTGGGCTGGGGACAAGCTTGTCTCCTGTGTTTGAAATGAAACCACTTGTCTAACAGGTCTCCAAATATCCAGGCACCACCGGAAGATGCCCAAATCACCAAAAGTTTCACATCTAGCTGGGTTAGGAAGTTAGGTGGAGAGCAGAGCAGCATTTTCATCTGAGAGCCCAAGGAAGGGACATGTTTGGCCCCAGTGTGAAAGCAGCAAAGGATTTGCACTGCCCTGTGACCAGATAATTTTGTGATGCCAACCTGAGCTTTGTGAAAGAGTGGGGAACATCTCCACCAACTTCACATGATTCTACTTCAGGATCTTAGATCTAACTTTACTACGCTTTATTTAAAAAATATCAGTTTTATAGCATTGGTCTGTTTCTGTTCCTTGGTGATGTTCATGACAGCAACACAGCAGATATATAGCACATGCCCTTAATTTAGTCCCTGTAAAGCTCTCCTGTTACTGCTTAATGCAATCAATTACTGAGTAATCTGAACTGTGCCCACAAAATGAGCATAAATTGGCATCAAAGCTAGGACAATGCAAGTGGTGGTGTTAATTCCCAACCATCTATTGTAATGCAGTATTCATTGGAGGGGTTTCTCTCCTGGTAAATTTTAGAAGCTCTTTATACAGATGACTGCTTTCCTTTGTTGTAGAGCAACAGGGAATGTCTTTTTAGCACTAAAATTACCCAAAACATACTATGCATATATGTACACAAGCAGAACTGGACCAACATTATTTATAGACATTCTGGACTCATTTGCTTTGGTGGATAAATACTGTATTTAGGTAAAGTCCATTGACAAAAATACATGATACGTCTATTTATATATGTATATATACATATATACACACACGCACGCATCCCTTCAGTACAGAAAATTCCCTTAAAAAGTGTTTAGAACTACACAGTGCACTAAGTACAAAACAAGCCACGTGGAGTGTTGCCGATGACAGAGGGGGATGATTTGTTGTTCCGGAGCCCGGCCCTGCGCTCGCCCCGTGTCCCCGGGAGCGCAGGGAGCCGCTGATGCCGGCAAGATGCGGCCGCGCTCCCTCTTCCTCTCGCCCTCTCCAGTCTTTTCCTCCTCGCACTGCCGCAGAGCTTTCCAAATGAAGAAGCTGTTTCCATGACACCAAGCCCTTAATTTGAAGCATACATATAAACAGCCTATGATTGTGATCACAATGCACCATTTCTTATTTATTTTATTCTTTTTTTTGTTGTTGTTGTTCTGTTTTGGACAGAGTCAGGCAGTGCTTATGAAATACAAGATAAAAATCACTGGTTGTAAACAGCAAACTGTTTCACCTTTAGTGTTTTACAATACCTTGATTTCTCTATTAAATTTCTTGTCCTGTTTAATAAACCTAAGATGCAGACTAGTTGACTAATCAGAGTGCTTTGTGGTTTTGCTTTGTACTTGTAGCCAGACACATCTCCGTGGTTCTTTGTTCTTTTGGTGAGGTCTTCGTTTAGTGCATCCTTTTCCCTTACTATTTACTTTTTCTCAAAAGCTATTTTTTGGTCACTCTTCCCCAGAACAGTGTTTTATAGCTTTCTATCATGGCAAACTCACAATAATAAACTACAAATGTAAGTATTATTTCTTTTAAAATGTATCTAAATTTGTATCTATTTATCTAAAAGGTAAATAAAAGAGCAGTCTTCTTGCATAAAAGAAAAAACTGTAAGAAAATATGTGCCACGTTAGGAAAGACATAGTCTTAAACTTATATTGAATTGATATCCCATCTGTGGAACACATCCCATAAGCAAAAATTTTATTTTTTAATTCCTTAATTGTACTTTCTTAATCACAAGATCAAGATTTATTTGTCCTTCTAAAGAGGAACTTTAATCAAAATATTCTCCAGTTAAAACACTGTAAATTTGTTTGATTCCCAGTGAAATGGAATCAGAAGGTAAAGATGGCAGGAACATTAAGGTTTTGTGCATCCACAGCAATCCCTCTCTCACCCGACTCCTGCTACCAATGAACTGCAGTGGCAGGAGCACCATGCAATAGCAGTTAAGTTTTATTCATACCCTCAGCTTTATCAACAAGTCTGAGACACCTACGGCGTGCACACCCACACACCTGCTCAGCCAGGGCAGGGAAAGCAGGCATGGGCTGAGTGCCTGTTCCCCACTGCTCCCGCTGCCACAGGCTCAGCTCCCTTCCCAAACACATCAGCTCCTGCCCCGCTGCTACGGGCAGAAATTACAGCCAGGCAGGGATCACAGGCAGCAATTACAGACAGGAATCACAGGCAGGAATCACAGGCAGGAATTACACCACAGCTGCAATTCCCATGCCATTCCCTGAGTGTGCAGGGGGACACGGGAAGGTGGCACATTTCCATCTGGCCAGCACTCTGCGCTCACTGTGTGCTCACTGCAGCTTGTACCTTTGGGCCAGAGGTTTCACTGTCCTACAAGACAGGAAGCAACAAACAGGGAAACAACGTTGGGAGCAGTTTTTCAGTATGGAGGCCTGGAGACCCATCCTGAAATCAACACACAAAAGACAGCCCTAAATGTGATCGCTTACAAGCAATTTGAACAGCAAAATCAGCACCATCCCTTTTTCTACCCCCAGATTATCCAGAAATTCCTGCACACAGAAGAAATGAGAAAAATCTATGGCTTTATAGGACAACTCAACCACTGATATACTTGCAAGCAGAGTGGTATATTAGGGTAAAGGTTGCAGGGGGATTTCATAATTGGAGCAATAAATTGTTTTATTGATATCTTTTCCCCATCCATGAAGGCTCTCTCATGACATAGACATTTCCCCAAAAACAGCTGTTCCAAAGGCCAAGGAAGGCAGAAGGACTCCCTGTGTGTCCCATCAGGTAAAATGTGCTACACATAAACATGAGCACAGCTGTACTATACATCCACAGACACTTGCAGGAAGCAACAAGATGAGTAAAGCCTGAAATCCCATAAATAGCAGGAAACACTCAAGATGTAGAAATGCAAAACACAAGAGCAACCAGCAAAGCCTAGAGCATTGCACCCAGAGTTGAAAGGCTTCTAGGTGACCACAGGAGTTCATGCCTGGGATATCCCCTTCTTCTGTGTGGCTCCTTCAGCCAGGCAGGATCTCCCCTCCACATGAGACCACACAAGAGCCAGGCTCAAGCCTGTTCCGTGCAGGTTTCCTCTGCAAACCTCAAGCATGTTTTTCAGTCATCTGTCAGGGAAGAACAGGAGCAGGGCCACACAGGGTGAAGACAAATACGTGGGAGCACATATGAGACTGTAGGACTGCAGAGGTGAAAAACCCTGAGAGGAGAAGCAGGTCTGGGGTTTACAGCATCCCCATCCCTGCCTTACAAAAGATTTTCCTTACCTTCAGGAAATCCTCGTGCACCAAGAGCATCCAGCCTGGAAGGTGAAGTGTGATCCAAGGTCTGTTGAGGAGACTGGACACCAAGGACTGAGCTCACAGCCTTTCCATCACCTGTGGAGAGCCCAACAGACTCTAAAAACAATTTGGAATGTGACAAGGAAATAAGATAATGATGCATTTCTCCAGTTATAGCAGAGAGATGGGGTTCCTAAGGAAGGACAAAGCTACTTACTGGATCACACTGACAGGGTGACACCAGAGACAAGTGATTTGAACTGAAGGAAAGGCTTTTTCAATTTTAGTGTAGCGTTTATACCATTAGGATGCTGCTGTTCTGTGTGTTATTCTCAGAGCCATTCATGCATCTCTCTTTTAGTTGAATTATATTTTTTCCCTTTAATAAACTTGCTTATTCAGTCTCACTATCACACCAGAGGACTAATTTGGATTTAATTTATCTCTCTCTGCATACTTGCATAGCTGTTGCTTCTTTTACTTTTTCTCCCTTATCGGTTTTTAATTCTCTGTCTTTTGTGTGAGCCTTGTAGGGCAAGGATCATACCTACTTCTATTTTTGGAAACCATCTACAGGGAATAAATTATGGTAATTACATCCAGCAGAATTAGATTGTAGTGACTGCCAGACATGGGATAGCCACTGTCAGAGATCCTCAGAACAAGATCTGGTTTTGCCCTCAAGTAAGAAAGGAACAAGAAAGATGCACCACCAAAAATCAGCATTATGAGAGTACCCCCAATCTCTGGAAAAGTATGTGGTGAATGCTGCCTACAGCCAGGGAATCACAGAGAGCCAGACATTTGAGCTTTACCACAGAAAGGGTATAATAACATTAGCAACTGCTGAATTTAAAATTGAATGCTACTAAAGTTCCCATTTGAAGCTACACTTATTCCCTTGCTCAAGGCTTTGAGGGTGGCTAAAAGGGTAGGAAAAAACTTTGAATGCAATCTTCATTTTACACATTTCTGATATTTAAAATGTTTCAAAATTATTGGTGTGCTACATTTGCCCTCAGTCCAAGTGGTGGCTTATCTAATATTATTTTATGAAAAATTTGGAAATATGAAAATAGTATTTTTCCATATAATTCAACTCAAATCTGTTTATTTATGTAGCAGGAAAAAGTGGTCAAATATTTTAACATGAAATTAAGTGTCTGGCATAGACCTCCCAGAGAAAAGAAACAGACTCGTGTGAAGGTGCAAGGTTCAGTAGCTCTAAGGTGAGGGATGCCAATGCTGACATAGCTGCCCTTCTGACTCACACACTTGAGGCTCTGTTGGTGTAATGCCCTAGAGGTGAGGTGGTTTAAGGAGCCAAGGTGCTTTCCTACCTTGTTCTTAACTGCTTTAAGCACTTTTCCTCTTCTGTTGCCTCTACCAATGTTCAAAGGTGGCCTGTGAGGAAAGAAAAGAAATGGTCCTTGTACCCTTATCTTTCTGCTTCTTGGTGGGTTAGAGACATCCAACCCACCAAAAGCTGGGAGTCTGGCTTTTTTTGGGTTTTGCTGGCTTTTCCTATGAAGAATTCAGGTTCGGTGTCTTGTCTGAGAGGCAGTCATTGGCAACCAGAGCCATGAGAGTTCTGCTGACTCTCTGGAGTCAGGAGCTTCCACAGCTCCAAAGGCTCACCTGGCACCCAGAGCATTTTTGCATGCATGAAAAACAGGTTGTTCTGAATGTGGTTCACCCTTTTGTCTAACTGATGTAACCATACATATGTTAATGTGGATTAACATATCCATATTCATCTTCCTGTAAAAAGTATAAATTGCAGAGCTTCACAGACTTTTACTACAGTGGGTTTGTTTCTGTGGGCTCTCTTCCCAGGTGGATATTCCTGATTTAAGGAACTACTATCTATAAAAAGGCACTTTTTTTTTTTCCCAGTAACAAACCACCCTGCCAGTGTAAGAGGAAACCAGAACACTCCAAATATTTTTCTCCATGCTGACAATCATGACACACAGGTGATACGATTGGTGAAGCTCAGGAGAGCAGAGGGGAGTGCCAGTGTTACTCTGGCTGCCAGATCTTCCTTTAGGCTGTTGCATTGTGAGCCTGCCTTAGGGCAGTTTTATTTCTTCTCCAGCAGCACATCATCCCAAAGCAGCAGAGTTCCTCCTCTGAGCCTTCCTCTGAAGGAACTCAGGGCAGAGCAGTAACCACCTGGAATCCTCCCTGATGAGAGAAGCTGCCAATATCTCCCTAAAACCTGAAAGTTTCTAAACAGGCATCAGAACAGATGGGGAGATGCATTCCTTTTTAAGTCAGGATTTACATTTTCTTGCATTCATATTGAAAATGTTTTGTTGCAGCCTAACCCTTTTGGGATTTCTGTGGTGGTTGTAATAAAAAGAGAGGATTTCAGGCAACAACTGTTGAATTCAGGGGCCTAAGCCCCATACTCCTCAAAAGGTCAGTACCTTCCCTTGTGAATCTGTGACTGATTGCAGGTATTAACATCTCCTCAATCACGTAAATGGCCTTGAGTAAGGAAAGATTTCAGAACATTAACCTCAGTAATTAGTCTCCTGTATCACCTCCCTTAAAGGACATATGCTGAGAAGGAGGCAACAAAGACATTGGAAAAAGTTAATCCTTTTTCCTATACCTTTTCTTGTTTCCTCAGGCTGGCCCTAGGCAGGAGAGAAGTTTCACCCTGAGAGCTGGAAAGGCTCCTATGGTTGAGCCTTTGGACATCTACTCTTTTCCCTCTGTTAAGGAGGAGCTGGTTTTGTGCACTTGTATAAAGTGTTGTAGATGTTTCTCTCAAGGTCACTTGGCTGAAACAGCCCCCAGTGTTTTCTTCCCTTATTCCAATGTGCTTTCACAACTTTCACAACACCTTTGTGTACTGGCAAAGCAACATGTACAGCCAAGCAGTTTGGATAGCTCACCCAGCAGCCACTGCTTATCACTGGCATGGGGAAGCCGCCATGGAATCTACAAGATACCCAGCACAAAGATTTTTACCTTCTTTGTTCCTGTCAGGATTGGTGAGTAGTTTGGAGGAAAGCAGCCAAGGCTGCAGAGTTCAATTAAAACTCCCCCATTTAATGACAACCCTTTACCAATCACAGATTTCTGAATCACTCTGTTCATTCTGCCTTAATCCATCTTCTGGCCTCACATCACCCCAGCTAAAAAAAAACCTGTATTGAATATGAACAACACATAGAAGCAACCCACACATCTTGCCCAACACCATGATCTGCACATGGGGGTAAGGAGCTGAAAGAAATATGAGATGCAATTGGTAAGGCAGCAGCACTGTCCCTGCACTGTGCACACAAACTTCACCAACAATCCCATTGGAAAAGAAATCCCTGAGGTGCCATCGTGCAGGGAACCCACAGCTCAGGCTCTCTAAGAAAGCAGTGGGAAAACCTGCTGTCTTCTAGGAGCTGTACAGTGTCACTGTCACAGAGCTACTGAGCGAGTGAGCAGCACCAACTGCCTTTTCACACCATGAAACCATATGTCTTTTTCATTTGAAAAAAGGTTGGCTGATTGAGGCCATTTCTATCTGTATTTCCCATGGGAATTTTAGTAGCAAAACACTGGCTAAAGATATCTATAATAGTAATGCTGACCTCTGACTATAGCATCCTAAACTCTGGAATTATAGCAACCTGCTTAGAAGTTTCTACACCTACAGAATTTCAGTCCTAGTCCAGTTCTTGTGACTGCTCTATTCCCCTTTTAAAAGCAAACCCATCAATTATATAGATATTGAAGGAGTGAAGGATAAACTTGAACAAGTTACATGAACATTTTAATTAAAGCACATCTTAACAGAAGATCAAGAAGAGAATAGTAAGTTAACATCCATAAAAAAATGTGTTGAGACAGCTCTGATGTATTTTCCAGTTGTAGAAAAGGTAATTGGATGAAATGAAGGGGAAACAAATTCAATGTGATAAATGTAATAGATATTTATTGCTACAAAGGATTAGCCAGAATTACCTTCAAGCACAGGCTTGATGCTAGATATGATAATTTGATAGGGAGAAACTGCCTTTCACTTTCATACTATATCAACTTCTTTTATTATGACGTATCATAAAGGGGAGAAAAAAATCACATTATGGATTTGCTGGCCTGTGGGATAACCTTGAAATTGTGCCATTGAATTTCCACATCTTTTTTTAGACCTCCAGTATGGAACCCAAATAGTACTGAAAGTACATGGAAGATTAGAATATGAGTAAATACAGAGTGTGACCTTTTCTTGCCACAGAGAAAATCCCTGCGACCTCCACTCATTGGGAGTCAAGGCACAAATGAAAGTGCCTAAAGGAAGAAGAAAAAATCTTACCCAGGAAGATAACTTTCTCAGCTGTGAGCATGCCTTATTGAATGAGAAAATGCTACTTTAAACTAGCACTGCATACATCCTGTGTGTATGTAAATAGGGGTGATACATTCATTTCACATCTGAACTGGTTCCCTGCCACAGGATGTGATGAAGTTTTGCCTTACCAATAATGACTCACGTGCCACCTACAGTAAAATAAGCAGAGAGGGGTGGCACAGTAACTACAAATACAGAACAAATGCGTGGTTTTTTATCATTTCCATCTTCTTGTAACTATCCTTTTCTGTTTTCCTTCAAGAAAATAAACCAAACCTAAGCAGCAGTTTTGCCTGAACAAAGAGTGCTATAAATAAGTGTTACAAACAAGGAGTGTTATAAACAAGTGTTATAAAGAAGGAGTGTTATAAAGAGTTGAGAACTCCTATTTTATTTGCAAAACAGACATGCTGACATCTATAGCACTACAAAGCAGATGGATCATTTCTAGACTGCAGGTTGTGCAGAGGTGGGACCTGTGTCTGTAAGACTGCTCCTAGCACAGTAGTATTGCTACTAAAATATTAATAACAAATTATACACATAGCCTGAAGGATAAGATCTTTTGTTTAAACTCAAAACACCCCACTGAACAAGTGTATGACACCCTCAGACACATTCACTCCAAATTGTTCTAATTCAGTATTGACATTTTTCTCCATTATCCATCCATGAGATATTAATATAATTATTTCAGAACATTGCTCAGCTCTTGTCTGCACTTGGAAATATACCAAAATAGCTACAATTATTCTGAGATGGTTTATTTCAATATAAATCCCAAAGCGGACACTCTTATTCCAAAATAAGAGTTCTTATTTCCAATTTAATTTAATCTAGTTCTAAAATATCCTCCTGGGATCTTATTCTGGAATAGTTCTTTTGGTACATTTCCAAATGTAGCAAGCTCAAAGTCAGGGATTGGAGACTGGAGTTTGTTGAAGAGAAAACTCTGTTTCCATTTGAAAAAAAAAAAAATACAAAGAAATAAGCTGAAGAAATTCATCCCTTTCAGAAATGCAAGCCCTTACACAAAAAGGGTAGAGATCCTATTTCAAGAATAGCAGTTTGCTACCTCTGCATGTGTAGATACCAATTAATGTTTCATCAAAGGAGTCACTCACAGAGCTCCTCCACCCCTTTTTTTTTCATCTAAACATACACTGTCAAAGCAAAAGAGAAAAAAATTAGAGTCAGAAATTAAACCAAGAAAATAATCTAGCTCAGGAAGCCTTCTGATCCTGAGAAAAGGGAAATGTAAAAACTTCCACTAGCTCAGCCAAACATTTCCATCAGCTGTTAATTTTACACAGAAGGTGTTTGTATGCTGAATGCTAGGCTGTGTACAAAACCTGCAATAGGCAAGCCTCAAGAGAAGTACAATGAAGTTATGAACCTATATAGGGAAAAAAAGTATATTTGTTGCTTCTTAAAATCAACTATACCTTTTACTACACCAAAGCCTAAACTTTCTAAAATTTCTATAATACAAAAGGGGACTTAGAGAAAATCTCCATTTTCTTTACCTCAAACTATCTTTGGGAAGCAGAATCATAGAATGGTTTGGATTGGAAGAAACTTTAACAATCATCTAGAATCTATGATTTAACAACTTCTTTGCTGGGAATAAGAGCAATCAGAGATGGTGAGAGAGGAGACTGGGAGTGTTCAATGTCAGAGTGGTTAAAGTCATTAGAACACAAGCAAACATGGGGACCCATCTATGACTCAGCAGCTTCCTCTCTATCCTTTGGCTTCACTGACCACTCAGAAGCATTTTCAAGGCTGAAAAAATTCTGGTGTCAGCAGATACTGACAAATGGTTGTTACCCAGATCCTCTGCCTCTGAGTGTATATGGGCACAAACAAACAAAACAAAGTAAAACAAAACAAAACAAACAAAAAAAATCAAAATAGCTTCTTCCTAATACACTAAATGTAGATGTTTGATCCAAGTGAGTTGTTTTTATTACATCTGTCCCACAAATGTTAGTAACAGATATGGTCAATCCTTTACAGATTTCAAAGACTGTCAAC